GCGCGTGCTGGCACTGCGGTCGCCCTCGGCTCTCTATACTCACGCGCAGGATCAATTGTGGCCGGTGGGCTGTTGCGCCAGGTAGTAGTTTTGCTGCATTCTCTGGCCAGCGACAAGGACCCTATCGTCCATACGTGGGCAATTTCAGCGCTTGCTGAGGCAGCAATGTCCGCAGGTTTCATGTTTGAGCCCCACGCCCGCGACACGTTCCAGATGGCGCTAAAGCTGTTCCTCAGCGACTCGCACGCATTCCCGCTATATGCTTCTGCCCAGTGGATCCGTGGCAAGGAGCACTCGAGCAATACGGCCACAGACTGTGCCAGCTACGAGCGAGTGCTGCCGCTCCGGTCGATGATTGACCCAGCTGCGTGGGCCAAGCAGGCCGCGCAGAAACGGCCGGACGGTGCCAAAAACCGCGGTGTGGGCAGTATTGTTGCAACCAGCCGAGATGCGGCAATCACTCACCCCAACAGTACCACTCACCACGGCAGAAGCGGCGACGAGCAGCGCGATGCAATGGCGGCGGCAAGTACTGGCGGCGAGGGCGATTATCAGTATGTGTGTGCGCGCAATGACGTGGATGCCTATGACGCACGGGCCGCAATCGGACACTTGGTCAGTTCGCTCATCCTTGTATTTGGCCCTGAGTTGCAAGTCGACAATGCGACAAGAGACTCGGTGACTACGCTGCTGAGGCAACTGCACCGCGCACTGCCATCAGTTGGCGTTCCTGTGCCAACGATGGGAACCGGTCTGCAACTGTCGCCGATCGTTGATCCTGATGCGCGCTGGCAGACAGTGGCGGAATTCGTGTTTGCGACCCAGAAGCAGCTGCTGTTCTTCCCCCCAAAGCAGCCAGAGTTTTTGCCATTGCTGGTGCGCCAGACATTGCGGCCGATGCTGCAGACCCGCCGGACCACATACTACGGCTATTCGTCTTGCGTCCACTCGTTCCAGCACGTCGCTGTGCTTGCCCTCGACAGCGTGCTGCGTCTCTATGGTGACCGGATCTTTGACTCGTTGGAGTCCAGCCAGGAATATTGGGCTGATTGGGCCATGGACGATATCGTGTGGGAGTCCCTGGCCCTGCACAACACTATACGAGAGCAGACCAGTGTTTCTGGAACTGAGCGCGACTCGACAACGCTAATGAATGATCTGCGCAAGCTGGTACATTCGGTTATCAGTCTGATCGTGGACCACGACTACCAGCGCCTTGAGGCATTATGCGCCAAAACCAACGTATGTTTTGACGAGACTGGCGAAAAGGCACAGGCAATTTGCAACATATTGGACCTGGTCGAGACGCTATGCTCTGTGTTCACGAAGCGCGCGGGTGCGGTTCCGACGCTTGGCAGTCGCCGTACTCGCGGAAAAGCCAATTCGGACAGCAAGGCTGCCAAAGTGGACATTACCGAACCAGCTGTGATTGATGACGTGCGGCCATTCAACGCCGAAACGAAAAAGCTGGCAATTGCGGCTATAATCGCGATTCTCGATGTCATTGAGCGAGCCCGTCCCACAGCATCGTCACTGAACTTGCCACGTGGAAGGCGGCACTGGCGCTCGCACCCGCTCATCTCTCTGCTTGCTGACCTGGTGCGTGTCGGCTACATGGCAGCAACTTCGCCAGTGGCAGAGTCTGTAACGCTGTGCTGCCTAGGTCTGCATCTGCTGCAGCGCCTGATTGCGCAGTTCTGCGATGTTGAGGATCCTGAGATGCCCGGCGAAGGCATGCCGATCCTGGCCATTTACCAAGCGCAATTGAACTCTGCGTTTATGCCTGCGCTCAGCAGTGCTGTTGTCGTCGATGCAGGTGTCGCACACAGGAGGCCGTCTATTCTGAAGCAGGCGGCCATGGGCACCGCAGCTGCATATGTCGTCTCCGGCCTAATCACTGACCGTGGGTCTCTAGTGCGGATTGTACGCTTACTTGCTCCCCAGGCTGTGCTCCGATCGTCGGCACCGGGGACACCGGGAGCAAAGCACAGGTTTGACGCCAGCAACGATCCCTTGGACACGAGTACGCCGCAGATGCACATTATCACCAAGCTTTCGATGCTGCGTACCTGGTCGGTGATTTTAGAGCATGCGGTCAAAACGCGCAGCGACAGTCTGCTCGATATTGTGCAGCTGCACATGCCTGTACTGAGCACCATGTGGCTAGACGCAGTCCGCGACACAGCCGTGATCGGTGTCAAACCCCGCGACATACTTGATGAGCTGGGCACGCTCAGCCAGCTCTCCAATACCCGTGTGGGCAAGGTTGCTCCTGATGTTGGTCTCGGGCTGAGTCTCGGGCTGGAGTCGACATACCTTGGGCTGGTGAACAAATCGCTCAATGTCTGGTACCGGTACCATTTGCCGCTGTTCTTGAGCTCCCTGTCTATGCTATTAAGTCCAGCGGCCAACGGCAGAGGCAGCCACAAGGTTGTCAGTGTGCTGAAATCCGGGTACGATGAGCTCCTTGGACACTTGCAGAACACACTCCCCATCTGCATCCCCAACATCTCAAACCTCCAGCTGCCCTCACAGTCGTCTGTTCTTCTACTCGGGTTTGTATTGCAGGAAATCTCGCGGCTTTCCGAACTGTCGTTGCGAACCACATTCACCGAACTGCCTTCAGATGGCCAGATCGGTAACCCGTTGATTCAGCCGATTGTTAACAAGCTGGTTGTGGGCGCATTGGGCATTGGTGGTTCAGACCGGAGCTACCAAGGCGACAGCGAAAGCGAACGAATCGCAAGTCTGGTACAAGCAGGCATTGCTGTGTTTGGACCAACATCGCTGACATCGAATACTGGTGTGAAATGGACATCTGATATCCGCTTGCTCTCGTCGCTGCTATCCGCTCTAAGCGCACTTTTGCAGCAGTCGGGCGACCTCAAGTTTGCGGCACTGTTTGCAGCAACTGCTACAGCAGACAAAGCCGCACGGATGTCGTGGCTGGTCGATGACATTTGGAAGCAGGCGGTGTCGATTCCTTTGCAGCCCCTGTTCATATCGACCGAATGTGGAGATGGATCGCTCGATGAGAAGGATGCTAATCCGGTTGCCAAGCAGCAATGTGAAAACCGCCAAATGCGAGTTGATGTTGCTGCGAAGGCGCTGGATGCTGCACGATCTCTACTCGGATGTCTGCGTGCGACCAAGCAGCACGGAAGCGGACACAGCAGCCTAGCACTCTGGCTGTTTGATGGATCCGCTGGCGTCGAACCCGACTCATGCATCGGCTTGCTTGGGCTGTCCGGTTTTGGCAACTCGGTTCTGGCCGACATGATTGGCGTGTGGAAATTTGCGCAGAGCCAGGCAGTCGGTGCTATTGAAGGAGGCGCTGGCTCCATGATGCTTGCTTCACAATCACTGGCTGTTATCGCTGACATTCTGGCTGAGGCTATCAGCTATAAAATGTCAGAATCGGGTGAGTTCCAAAAGTCAGTAGTGTCGCTTTGGCTTAGGCTGTGGCAGAAATCTGTACTTGCTGCTGGCACACCGCATGTGGCATTCGCGAGCCTTCGTGACTTTGTTGCATGCGTTATGGACAGGTGCACCACAGACAATGAAGAGTCTGCTGGTGATATCCTTACCGGGAGCTCCCTCGACAAGAGCCTAGGTCGCAGCGATGCAGTCCAAGTTATTGCGGCAGAAGTCAACAGTATGTTGTTCGAGTTGCTTGAGTCGACTGAGACCGATGTTTCTGCCAGATCGCTAGCAGTTGCCGCCATGCTCCTCGCCCACGACCCATCGGAGTCTGGCCATATCGTTGTTTCCAGCAGTGTGGCTGCCAAGTTCGTGTCTGCGTTCATTGCACAGCTGTCCAGCCACGCACTTACTGGTGCCCTCGATGTACCAGGGCATATGGCAGCGCCCAGCAAGAGCACTTTTGTTAGTTCCCCTGCTGTGCAGTCGCATATGCCCATGCTTGCCAAGGGCGCAATTCCTCGGCTAGCTGCTATTGTCGCCCGGAATCTACCCAGTCCTACCGACGATTCGCTGGTGATCGACAAGGCTCTGACAGCGTTGGTGATGTTTGCCGCTTACGAGTACACTGAGCCACGGGTATCCGAGTCTGTCATTTCGACAGTACTAATGCTGCTGCTTTCCATGCTGCCAGACAACTGCAGCCGGCTCAGTCTTACTCAAGTCAAGATCACCGAGTCGATTCTGAGCCTTGCTGCAGCATCGCCAGCCTCATTCAAGTCGATCCTGCTCAAAATATCGGCCACACAGCTGGTAGCAAAGCGCAGGCTCGAAGCAGCTATCAGATCCCGCGCTGAGCGTAGCCAGGGCAGCGACGAAAATGACGAACACGTTGAGAGAAACAACAGCGATGTGTCTGGTGGAGCGACGCCCGCGCTATCACCTGACGACAAGGCGGTGCCCAGTCGGATTGCGCTCAAGAGCGACTTTGCTGGGTTTTAACAGTGGCTATACTATGTTCCATTATTGAAATGCTAGTTATTCTGCACGAGCAGCATTCCAATGTATCATGACCTATTATCAGATACCACTGACCATGCTACCCGAAAGGGGCATTCTGGTGGTAGACGGATCCCAGCACAGCCACCAGACGAGACTATAAATACGGGAAACTAGACTGGCCATCGTATGATCCGACCCACGGCCTGCAGCTGGGCCTTCGCTGCTGTCTGAACTACCACTCCTGGTCATATACTATGCCGACGTTAGGGACGAATGCACCAGGTGCGCAACAGTATGAATGCCTTTGAGCTTGCACGAGATCGAGACATTGTGCTAAGGGAGTAACTCCATTGTTTGCAGCTGAATCAGGTCGCCCACCTTTACGTGTCTAGTACAAGGAGGTGTGGTCATCAGTCATAATATTGACATCGATGCCCTGCCCCAGCCAGCACGCAACAACCACCCTCTATTCAGACAAGTTATTCTGTACCAGCAGTATCCCCACACACCATTGACTATTGCAGATATAGCAAGTTCCTCATCAGGAGGCTGGTGGGAACATCGGGCATTTTCTCTCCTCAGCAAGTATTTGATGGATCGGCCTTCTCTACTGATTGCTTCACTAGCTGCGCAAAATGGCTCTCTGGGTCATGGCGCAGGTTGTCTGGGGCTCCGGACTCACAGATCTTGCCATCCTCGACCACCAGGACCATGTCGCTGCCCAGCGCATTCTCCACCCGGTGTGCAATCGAGATGACAGTGCAGCCAGCAACTCGTCGCGGATCAGCTGGTGTAGGAGATTGCTGGTCCCACTATCAATGGCTGCGGTGGACTCATCCAGCACAAGGACCTTTGGCGCTTCAGTAGTGCCCGTGCCAGGCATATCTGCTGCTGTTGACCAACGCTCCATCCGCTGCCGTTCGAAGCACGGGACTGTCAAGAGCAACGTCCGACATGCCGACTGCTATCAGACAGCGTTGGATCTCTGAGTCAGCGTGCTTTCTGAACGGATCCAGGTTGTCGCGCACAGTGCCAGTCAACAGAACGATGTCTGCGGCACGACTCCCAGACGGCTGCGCAGAGCGTGTAAGTCAACAGTGCAATGTCGACGCCATCGATCAGGATTCTGCCTCACTGGCTTGAGCAAGCCAAACAGCGCCATGGAATGCTGTCTTGCCGCCCCGTCCGTCAACAACACTGACATGCTGCCCAGGCCTGATAGTGAAACGACATCCCGCTGAGCGCACGCTTGCCATCGACATTGTACGCGCAGTCACATTGTCAAATACAACCTGCCCCTCGCTGGCCAACCTCACCCACTGGCTCGCACTTTGCTGCATCTGACTGCTCCGTCTTTAGCCTGCTGTAGTGAATGTAGCGCGCAGACTTTGAAAAACCAGTGCGAATCGTGTAACTTTTGTGCGTTAAGTGCTGGAAGCGCGCCATCTGCAGCGATGTGACCAGCCGGATGGCAACCAGGTGTGAGTGGTTTATTCTTGCACCGCTGCTGATACCCAGCACAGTGACTATGTATGCAACATTGAGTGCCATCTCGCGCAGCACCGAGATACTCAGGTCAACCCAGGTGTAAATGAATTCCTCTGACCGCTTAACACACGAATAGTCATCCATACGCTGGAACATCAGCTCATTGGCATACTGGTGGTTTGAAAACGCTCGGATCGTGGCTGCTCCATCAAGCGACTGCTGGTATCTTGGGCTCTCTAGCTATGGCGTCGTTGAAGTTGTCGAGCGGCGTACGGCTGCCTTGATGATGAAGATCATGGCAGCGAGAAGAACCACCACGGCTGCAGGCATTATCGGGTGGAAACCAAAGACAACCCAGGTCTCAAACAGAAGTTGGATTGAGTGTTTCATGAAATCGCCCACTAGCTCGGGCAGATCCTCGTCAATAACCTTTTGGCCATCGGTAAACAGCCCAATAATGCGACCAGTGGGCACGGAAGAAAAGAACTGCAGCGATGCGTGTGTGACGCTGTAAAGCAGATCGCGGTGGGCCTTGACAAACATAGAGCGTCGCACACAACGTTGGGCCACCAGTATCCTCCAAACTCGACCATGGTTAGAGCTCCCAGCCAGACCAGCTGACACCAAAGTGCTCAGTTGTTGGATTGCGCAAAATCGACATCCAGGATACCGCATCTGCATCATCATCGCTGCCTGCACGGGGGAGGAAGACTGGAAAGGGCTTAGCCAACCACTGCTGCGAGTCTTGAGCGATGAAAAAGTGGGCAGTCACAGTCACAAGCTGGCAGAGAATGAGCGCTACACCACATTTGCGAAGCATGTAGCGTGCAGGAATCAAAAACTTATCCATGGCGCTTGCGAACTTGGGCTCATAGCCATCGTGCTCTCGTATATTCGGCTTGTCTCCACTCGTTCTGTCTTTGGTATGGAGATGAGCACCCATGATTTGAGAGTTGTCTGGTAGTAACTCCAAAGATGAAGCAGGTGATAGGTCTGGCAGTGGCGAAGTGCTTTCTCTAAATCCTCTCCGAATTCAACTAATTTGCGCAGTTCGTTGGACTGCGAGATGAGCGTGCCAAATGGGACTGGACTGTGGATCTCGCCGTCGATAGCCAGGCTGACCGCATCTGCTCGCGCCAACACATTGACCTCGTTGGAGATGATGATACGCGATGTATGCTTGAGCAGGCCTGTTGCACTCGAGACAACGTTGGCAAACAGCCGGCTGCCCACATGCACGTCAACCGCTGAGAAAATGTTGTCGAGCAGATACAG